TATATATACACACACACACAAGGGAGATTCAACCTTATATAAAAACGGTTAGAACTATATATGCAAGGTAGATTCAAAAAGTTCAAGGGACAATGGAGTGAAAAGATAATGGGTCTTTTTCCCATTAACTTTGTGCAGCCTCCTTGTACATAAATGTAAAGCCAAAGAGAAACCAAGACCAACAACAAGCCATATGTATCCGTTGATTTCCACACTAAATTAGCAAGTATATTCACTAAATTAGTAAATATACGTAAACAAAAAGCCAGGATCTTTCACAGTAATGCAATAGAGCGTCTTGATTCTTATATATTCTAAGTAATGTCATCTGTTTAACTTAGTATATCCTTTTAGAGGGTAAATACATAATTTTTTATATGACGAAGCATGTGGCACTGGGATTTGAGGACAAATAAAGAATAATCTGTGATATGTAGAAAACACAACCTTGCTTGCTCAAAGTATCAATTCTTTTACGGTCTTCCCTATTCACTGTCCAACTTTCGCATGCATATGAGGTTATTCAAAGTACCATGGCTTGGGTCAGGTGCACCTTAGTCCTCAAGCTGACAGCTTTGAGTCAGTACAGCAGATTTGCCTAATGCAGTACTTTGTTTGATTTCTTGGCTGCTGCTTCCATCAGCGTTGATGGTTGATCTGAGCAAAATGAAGTCTTTGCCAACTTCAATCATTTCTCCATCTATATGGATGCTGTTTATTGGTCCAGTGGTGAGGATTTTTGTTTTCTTTATGTTGAGATGTAACCCATACCAAAGGGTGTGGTCTTTGATCTTCATTAGTAAGTATTTTAAGTCCTTCTTGCTTTCAGTAAGCAAGGCTGTATTATGTGCACATCACAGGTTGTTAATGAATCTTCCTCCAATCCTGATACTACTTTTTTCTTCAGATAATCCAGTTCTCTTGGATTATCTGCTCAGCATACAGGTTGAATAAGTATGGTGAAAGAATACAACCCTAGCACACATCTTTCCTAATTTTAAACCATTCAGCGGTCCTTGTTCTGTTCAAATAACTGCTTTATGGTCTATGTACAGATTCCTCATGAGCACAATTAAGTGTTCCAGAATACTAACAATTCGCAATGTTGTCCATAGTTTGTCATGATCCGTACAATCGAAAGCTTTTGTGTAGTCAATAAAGCACAAGTATACATCTTTCTGGTATTCTCTGCTGTCAGACAAGATCCATCTGATGTCAGCAATGATATCCCTCATTCCACAGCCTCTTCTGAATCCATCTTGAACCTCTGGAAGTTCTCTGTCAATGTATGATTGCAGCCATTTCTGTATTACCTTTAGTAAAACTTTACTTGCATGGGATATCAAAGAGATTGTCCAATGATTTCTGCATTCTGTTGGGTCACCTCTCTTTGGAATGGGCACAAATACGGATCTCTTCTAGTCAGTTGGCCAGGTAGTTGTCTACCAAATTTCCTGGCATAGATCAGTGAGTGCCTCCAGTGCCGCCTCACTTTGTTGAAAGAGATCATTTGCAGTCCATTAATTCTTGGAACCTTGTTCTTTGCCAGTGACTTCAAATGCTCCTTGGACTTTTTCCTTCAGGATCATTGACTCTTGATCATATGCTACCTCTTGAAACGGTTGAACAAATGGTAGAACATCTTTTTGGTACTGAGACTCTGTGTATTCCTCCCATCTTCTTCTTTTTTTAAGGTTTTTATTGTGGATTGAGTGAAAGTTTACAGGGCACATCATCAGTTTCACATTCAACCATTCATATAGCTTGTTTCATTACATTGATTATAATCCCCTCCATACATCATCAGTTAACAGTGTTTCTCTCTATCCTCTTTAGCTTTTTTTGGGGAGGGGGGTGGGGGAAACTTTGCCTTTCTGGAATTTACAGTCTCGGCTTTTAGGGAAGGTTTTTATATTTATCTGTGGATATCCAGTGCTCATGTATGCAATTACTAACAAGCATAACTGAATAATCAGATGAAGGACAGTTTGCTATGTCTGCTAGGTGGCTAAAGTCTGATCCTCAGAGCCTATGGTTTGGACGGTCTGCAACGCTTGGGCCCACAGGGACTTGAACTCCTGACTGGGTCTGCACAATCTGCATCAGATTCCCTCTTAATATTTGTTTAAGAGACGCTGCCTGTCTTAGGTGGTCAGTGCGAATTCCTCCGTCTTACCAGTCATTGAAACTCATTGTAGCATGGCAGTGGCTCTGTCTTAGGTTGCCGAGGTTCCACGTGATCCTTACCCGTCTCTGGCCACACATCCAGCATAAGCAGCTGCCATCCGAGGAAGGCAGGGAGGGAGGAGACCGGCTCCTCCCACCTTCTTTTGATGCTTTCTGTGTCTCTTTTGAAACAGCAACCCAGAAGTCAAGTGACGTATTGCATTGGACAAATTTGCT